TCCTTTTTAAAATGGTCTCTTTGGCACTCACATTCAGGCGAGATCCAAGTCGCCGCACTTTTGGTAGGATCAAAACCTGCTTCATCCTAAGCGAATTTAGAATGTGCGATATGCGTGGATAGGCTGTTTAAATTCAGCTGCCACTACATCCGATCACGCATCCAGTCATCTTGATTCTTCCTTGAAACCGGCTCTATTGATGGCGAGGGGGTACAGCGTGTGTTGGATATTGCGCAAGTCTACCGCCACTATAAAATAATCTACGCGGAACTTACGGCTCCACCGCCTACCCTGCTAAGAAATGAACGGGCGCCATGATCGGTCGCGACGGTCAAACTGTCAATGCGGTAATTTTATTATCTTGATACGACGGCGGCGTGCGATGTCTATGTGACGGTTAATTTCCCACTCGTTAGGTAGTTTCGGTGAGACTGACTTGGCAAATTATCCCGCCAGTCTTCGGAAAAGTCCCTAAAAATTATGTTGGACAATGAATCACTTTATTTGCTCACAATGCAACTTTGCAATCTACTTTACGCAGCTGTTAACGTCATCGTGGTGGAACATGACAAAATATGCCATTTAATTTATAAAATGCCGCCTGTGCTATAATTTCCATCCTCGGAAGCACATTTATTTGCCACCTCGTCAGGCTTGCGTCTGGCAGTCTTTCAACCTGGTCGTAGACAGCTTTGGATAAATTTGGGAAGATCAAATTTGTCAAACGGAGTGTGTTTATCATGCTGGCATCGTACAAGTAAGTGACGTAGGCGTCAGCCCTCACGGTTTCCAAAACGAAACTTAGAAAGTCCACAGCTCGGGCAGAGTGTAGTTTGCTTTGTGTTGGTCCATGAACCTTAAGGCGGATAAAGGCAACACCTTAACTAAGTTGTTAAATGAAAATTTGCTAAATTATTTGGGTCGAAAATTTAATAAAATGACGTTTATATATACAGTGAGTGACCGATCTCATGAAATGTTGACTGGAATTTTAAAATGGGTTTTCGATTAGGAATAAACGCAACGCCTTAACTTTGTATTTAAATGGAAATTTGCTAAATGTTTTGGTCCAAAATCTAACAAAATGGTGTTCATGTATACAGTGAGGGACCGATCTCATGAAATGTTGGCTGAAATTCCGTAATGGGTTTTCGATTAGGAAGGATTACATCGGCGCGGTCGCAAAAAATGATTATCTTACGTCATAATCCTATGATACTTCGGACCTGACAGGATGTCAACGATTGAACGCACTGCTTTTCACTCTCCTGTGGAAACGTTACTTGGTAAAAATTACTGCCCAATTAGCATGTATTTTGTACATTTATTCTCGATGGTCTTGCTAATTCAAGTATGTTTTATCGAAACCACGAACGAAACTATGTTTTATTTCAGTCGTTTGATAGAAAATCACGTCATCTTTACATTTTATATTTGAAGAAGGTATATAATCAGGTCTTTTAAAACTTTTCTAATTTCTGATTAATTTGGAGCCTCATCAGTTTTTGCATTTCCGCTTAGTGATTTGAGTCAACAAGGGGCATGTGTTCCGTGTATGGAAAATCGTACGTCATAAAAAGATATTATATAGAGTCCATAAAATTTTGCAATTTATGAGGACCGTGTTTTAAATTTCATGAGGAGCAGTGGTAAATGTACACTTATGATGCAGTAAGACTTGACATTGCACGGTTTTAAAAATGCTATATTAAGCAACCATCATATATTAAATATAAATATGACGGGTTTCTCTATCAAACGACTGAAAAAGCATACTTTTGTTCGTGGTTTCCATAAAATACATTTGAATTTGCAAGACCATTTAAAATCAATGGGAAAAATGCGTGCCAATTAAGTAGTCATTTTTACCGCGTAATCTTTCATATGGAGATAAGAAAGCAGTGTATTCAAAATTGTCATCCTACTTGGTCTGACATGTTACATTAATATGCCGTGAGATAATGTGTTTTGCAACCGCGCCTAAGTAATCCTTCCTGATAGAAAACGTATTTCAGATTTGCAGCCAACATTTCCTGAGATCAGGCACTCACCGTTGATTAGTCGGAAGTTGAATATTAGCAGGTACTCGGTAACCTTTTCTTTCATTGTAAGGTGCATCTTCGGTAAATTGGTTGAACAGACGAACTGAATGACCTTTCCTTCGTGCAGAATTCGCAACATCGTGCACGTCGTACTTGTGACAGCAGCAAGTGCGTCCAGGTGAACGACGACAACGGGAATTTTGCTGTAAGATGTCGTGTAGGTCAGAGGAAACATGCGACTCATGCTGTTTTCGACAAAAGCGGTTAGGTCTATCAACCCTTTGTAAGAAGGACAGCGATACATCCCTAAAAAGGTAAAAATGCATATTTCATGTAAGTGTAAATGAAGACAGACAGTGAGGTAGAAATGAATCATAAATGAAATCGACACATTTGTACGATAGTGCCATGGGTAGCAGCGCAGTCAATTGCCTCGGACGTGCAATGCTCTCAGAGTCGAGGCTTTCGGTAATGGGTTAGGACAAATTTTGTGCAAGAGAACTCGCAGATGGAGTTCTGACAAAATATTTTGTTACCTGTGCCCTCCGATGATCTGTGTGGAATACCTGGAAAGTGCTTAGAAGTCAAAAATACTTTAAAAAGGGTATAAATACGCGAGCAATGCAGCTTATAAGATCAATTTACCAATTTTATTTTTCCAGCATCCCAATTCATACACAACATTCGAAGCTCAAATACTTGCGACACACAAGTGGGAAAGTAGTTCGCGTTTACAGTTTTAATTTGATGTGCGTGGACCATTATATGGAGGGCTGTTAAGCGTACGATTATTTGATTATGTTCCGTCGATGGAAATACACAAAACGGCCACAATACATACCGATACCGCTGTTTTCAGATACGATAAACTCATCGATGGAAATGTTTGCCTGGTGTTGTTGAGGTTGTTGAACGACGTGAAAGCAAACAGTTTGGTGAAAACGCACTTTCGTAAATACACTTGTACATTTTTTGCTTTTTTGGGCACACTATTACAATCGAATAATCAAAGAACGCAGAAATCATACATTTACGCTTGTTGAGGACTGCGCAAAGAATGGCTTTTACAGAGTTGCTCTATAATACATAATGCTGGATGAACAGTAGGTGGGCTAACTCATGAAATGTCAATCGGAATTCTCAAATGCGTTTTTGTTTTAAAAACATTAATCAAGTACGGTTGTAAAACTAGTCAGCCTTCAAAATAATTATATAATATTTTAGTTACCTCAAGACGTCGGCTTTTAAATGAACTTCCTTTCGGCTGCATGCAAACCCACACTCTGCAGAAAAGGACTTCTCTAATAGCAGTAAATTTTCTCATTGATTTTCGATGTCCCTAAATGTCTTATTATATTTCATGGAAAACATGCATACAAATGTTTATTTTTTCGCTCATTCGGTAGAACATTACGTCAACTACCAATCGTATCCTCAAACAAAGGGCAGAATTCGATTTTCAAAAACGTTTCTGATTCCCGAATAATTTTGTAATCCGCTCTACCGCTACACTCCCATTCAGGGTTTACAAACTACAAGCCATATATTTTCCGTGTACGGAAGACCACACATTTTTCTACGGCCATAATGGGGGACTATATAGGTTTCACAAAAATTTGGCAGTGGATTTTATTCATATCGTTAACTTTACAAGCCACGTTGGTAAATTCAGAGACATGGCACTTTATGAACGCTCATTTTACGGTATTTGAATGTCTCACAATTAGAGGATTTTTAAAACCGAATTATTTCGCTTCTTCGAGCATACAAATAAAAGAAGCCGTAATTATCTACCGAATGAGTGAAAAAATGAATATTTTAAGGCATGTTTTCCGTGAGATATAAATGGACTTTTGGGAAGATTGAAAATCAATGAGAACAATTTATGCTAATTAAATGGTCATTTTTACAGTGTACTGTTTGCATGCAGCCCTAAGGAAGCTCATTCAAAAGTCGGTATCTTGAGGTACCTGAAATTATTTAGAATTACTTTGCAGGCTGACTAGTTTTACAACACTATTTAATCAGTTTTATCGAAACGAAAACGCATTTCGTAAATTCGGTTGAAATTTAATGAGACTGTCAACAGTTCGAAAAACATCCAGTGTTCTTCTTCTTTCCTAAAAGCTGCAATTTTTTGTTCAACTTTAGTTAGTAATAAATGAACTTCACGTATTGTACCAATAAGAGTAGGACAAGAATTGGCAAGTGCACCCAGAAGAAGAAGCATCAGCGATATTTCCCGCATCGTCAGATCAAATTAATGACCATTCCTCTGCAATGCAATGCTATATGGAGCACTGTATGAGCTGATGCTATTGGCTACCATCCGATAGCCAATCAGGACTTGCGCATCTTCATTCTCATGCGGTGCGCATAGGGCGCTTGATTTGTTTTCAGCTATTCCGTCCGCACACTGATCACATTCTTTCAAGGCATGTCCTTTTGGTTAGCGGTTTCCATTTGGCAATACCTCATATTTGCGTACATTTCGAAAAATAGACTGTTATCGCAGCATAGTGGCACGCTTCTACGGCCTGTCAAATGCAGACAAGCTAGCAATGGGTTCTACGCTCCAACATCCCCCTTTACGTGTCATCTCAACATGCGGTTGTTCTACCAACAAAGAGGTCTTAAAAACGAGGTGCGAAGTAGCATTCGATGCCTGCTTATAGGATATGTAACAGTGATGTAGATAGGCTACTCCTGAGTTTTATAATTTAGAATTAAATCGACAACATCGAGGACATTTTTTTTCATGAGACACCCACATTGCAAAACGAAAAGAAATGTAATTGGGCATTCTACAATGGGCTTTGAGTCTGCAGTAATTAGAAACCTGGGATAATACTGGATGCTAATTAATGTTCCACCCATAATCAAGTAAATGTTTTGATTTGTAAATATTTTTTCAAATCGTCAGTTACTATTTCCTGTGACTGCACATCTACTGAACACATGAAGAAAGAAGAAGAAGAAGAAGAAGAAGAAGAAGAAGAAAAAAAAAAGAAGAAGAAAAAGAAGAAGCAGAAGAAGAAGAAGAAGAAGAAGAAGAAGAAGAAGAAGAAGTAGTAGAAGTAGACGACGACGACAACGACAATGTCAAAGACGACGGGATGACATAATCGGGCAAAACACGTCGGATATTTTTATGACAATTAATGCGTCAGGACACATCAACTACCAGCATATTTTCGCCCACAGTATTTGAGTGGCTCCGGTTCAGAATTCCTTCGTCAGTTTTTCAAAGGATTTCCTGGACATACCAATAGCATAAGGCTCGGTTGGCCAACACTTCAGACTTCCTTGCCTAGTTTTTTGTTTAAATTTTTCGTCAGAATTGTCAGGGTTTCTGTTAATCGTGAAGCGTTGTTGTAGAAAAAGTGCCTTGGCCATTTGTCTCTCATTGCGGTGCAATTTTGTTTTTATGTAACTGTTATGTTTTTTGCGCATTGGAGTAGCTGCCGTTTTCTTACTCCCCTGTCGTCCTTTCCGCAAATCAACACGCCTAGACGCGTTAACAGTGAGGGGGGCTTCTACAGTCTCCGTCGTAAACATAATGTCTGGCAAAATGAAGTTCAAGTATGGCGGAAATTTATCTATTCTGTTCTAACTGATAATTTTTGTCATTAACATAATACATCCACAAGTGGGTTCTATGATAGCCAAAAGACAGCTGTGTTTGTGATAGAGTGGATGTTTACTAAGAAAAGGAAAAATTACAATTAGCATGCATTGGCACTGAGCTTAGCCAATCACAGAATCCTTTGTCAGACTCAGTTTAGGAATTAATTGTTTTGCACAACCATAATCTTAAGATGAACCAGAGCCCAGTCTCGAAAATTTACACAATGACGCTTACTGTTTCTCAAAGTATTCCATCTCCCTAACTAGATTTCTTGGGATGCCCGTTCTTCAATACCTTAAACTGTGTAGTCGTAAAGCTGTTACTCGGTACCTCTCCGGAATCTATTGATCCCCCTAGCTGATGGATAGGCAAACAGAATAAGCAAACTTGGCTCACTGCCCTCAGCAGCCTAATCCGAAACGGCCGTTCAGAAACAACCCTTGACATGCTTATCCTCCAAGTTGTCACTGGCCAACTCGTGATACAACACATTTGGAAGGGAGATTCTTGCAATCTACCTCCCCATGAAGTACTTCTGACACCTACTAGACGGCAGGAATTTCACTGTGCTCACCGATCACAGGTCCAATTTCTTCGTTCTCAAATGGACTTTCGAGAGATGCGCTAAGCTGAAAGGTATCTCTTAAATCACCTTAGACATCGCTCACATCTATGAATCATGGAATGAGGTGACTGACCTACTGTTTACGTCCTTGATCACTCATCTCCGGTTTTCTATCGGAGATGGCTGCTGAACAGCGCTGTATTGATTCTTTCTGTGACAAGTATGTTTCCGGAATCCAACTCCGGGACTTCTCACTGATAACTGACGAAAGTGCCGTTCTCTGTAACGTCTCCATCCTCTCCACCATGCATTTCTATTGTCGTCCATCAGTTGCATGGTTTTCTTTTCCCTGTACAATTTCTTTCACCCTAGAGGCGCACAAGTGACAAGCCGGTCAGCGGTGACTTTGTCTGACCTAGGGTGCAAAGTAACGCGAAAGCTTGGACACGAGTGTGTCCCGGCTGTCAGCGTAGCAAGGTCAGTGGTACAACAGGGCTCCAATTGCAATTTCTCCAACCCTGGAGCAAGGTTCGGCTAAATTCGCCTGAGCACTGGAGGTCCAATGTCTCCATTAGACGGCTGTTAATTCATACTCGTTTGTGTTAATCGCTGCTATCTTCCAGTCAAATATTAAATTAACAAATACATAAATTCTTCTATTGAGTAACACTGGAAGTACTTTCATGGGAGTTACAATAAATTCTCAAGCGAATTTTATACAGACGCTATAAAATATTTAGTTCATGCTTATTGAATATGAAAACGGCCGACGGGCAGGGAACAAATCCTGCTTTTAAAAAACACAAGACTAAAGAGAAAACCCTGTCGCACATGAAAGGGTAAGTAGGCGGGTCGGACATGACTGGCCTGCATATTGTATTGCATAGGGAATTCGAAACAGACATCGTCAATACAGAATTCATAAACCGAATGAAGCTGTCCACGTCAGAAAGGGTGAGATGAGAGGACTCCAGACGCGATCGGTCACAGTCCGTTTAGAGTCCAGCCGAGGAGATGGCATGAAAGGCTGCGGTGGTCAACTAAGCGTACAGGAAGATGCGACTATGACACTTCCTTACTGACCTACCAAACTACTACTACTTGCAAATACTGAGAATCCCGCCGTGAGCGTCGCCATCAGGAACCGCGAAAAATCATCGCTGAAGAGGAGGAATAGTAACAGTGGACTTAGTAACCAATTAAAATAGGGGGTTGTAAAAATATAAACAAGTTTCCACTCGAACTAGCAAAACATGCATTATCTATAATAAAATCACAGGTGAAGCCTTCCCAAAATCAAGAAGTTGGGTCTTCGGGAATGAAACGGCCAATGTTGACTTAGTGCTTGCTGATGTAAGGCGCTCACGCAATGTCGATTTGAATGTCGATAACTTAGGCGCTGACCTAAGTTCTGATGAAAGACTTTTCCAAAGGAAAACATATGCGTATGCAAAAAAGTGGGGGCATTTGCATTTAGTGAAAATAGTCGACGGATTCACCATGGAGGAGTTGCGCGTGCATAAAACCGACCAACCAGACTGAGAGCATCAATGCGCGGAATATTGGAGCTAGTGTTAATGCGAAAAAGGAAGCAAAAGACAACTCCGAGTCTTCTAATCCACAAAAACTTAGTGTCCGCCAATTGACATTTCTCAGCATAAGAAATAACGGAGGCAGCTTGAGAGAAGAGTTTGCCAGTAAAAACTCTCTGAATATCAGTACACGAGGTGGCGGGCGTACGTTGCTTTAGATTAATTCTCGTCGGACCAGTACAGTTATATGGAGACGGGGTAGAAGTAAAACATGCCAATGATAAGATAAATCTATTAAAGTTAGCCTTAAAACACAGGCGGGATGTGGGAATGTGGGCGAGGGGGGGGGGAGGGTAATAGCAGTCAATGTCAGGGACGATGTGAGAGCGGGAGGGCGCTGAGAGTTACAGCGTTAGTTGACCTGCGACCATTGTTTGCGCGGAGCCTGAACGCGGTTCTTCTGTGCGCATAAGATTGGCTTTCGTAGCCTACTGGCGGCCGCTTCCGCTGTCGCTAACTGACGTTGGCCTATTAGCTTAGGGTAACTCGATGGGACCTTATAAATCACACGAAAATCTTTGTTGGGGTCCATGCGATGTCCGAAATCCACAACATGTGCGAGAATGGCGCTGCTTATGCTTCTCGCTTCGCCTTTTCTCAGCCATGCCGGGAGGTGTTCCCGTATTCTCATGGATAAGCACCGACTCATGCGACCAATATAGCCTGCTCCATCTGAGCAAGTAAAGGAATATATGCAGATTGAGGTGGTCTGCGGTAGCACCTTATCCTTAGCTTCTCCGCGTAAAATAGGATTGGTAGAGAATGATATTTAAGCCCTTGCTGCTGGGAAGGTTCGCGAGAAAGCTTGATCAAGGCGTCCCCTCAGGGTTTCGCTCGCAGCTTCTCCTTGGCAAGGGACCTTGAGGAACAAAGTTTTCTTTTCAGCGGTCGGTGTTGCGTGTTTCATCGATTGTTCGGATATGTTCTTTGCAATAAACCTGTCAGGATACCCGTTTTCACGAAGGAATTCCTGGATTTTTCTGAGCTCCTCCTCGATGCTATCTGTTGAGCAACTTTTTCTAGCTATTTGTACTACGCATCGAACTAGATTTCGTTTTTGTTGGAGGGGTGAGCATCTGGCTGACCAGGTTTTCTTTCGATAGACGCAAGTTCGGACACTCGCTTTAGGTTTTCTTCTTAGAAAAACATCTATGAAAGGGAGCGAACATGCAGTTTTGATCACCAGCGTGAATTCGATCGACGGATTTGCCTGATTTACCGCATCCAAGAGGTTTGCCACGACGGTTTCTGCAGTGGCTATTGCAAACATATCATTGACATAGTTACCGTAATGTGTAAACGCTAATATCATCGATTTAATGTCTGTCTTAGGCGTTTATTAAACCAAAGAAAGGACTGTAGTACTCGATGAGGGGAAGAAAATACCTTTTATAAAGTAGTAGCCTTAGTCCCGGAAGGAGAAAATACTCTGATATGATATGACAGTGCATTTCCCAGCAGTCTTTGCGCGCTCACCATCTTCATTTCAGCAATGAGCTAGCTCAAAGGCTAGACAACCTTCCTATCGCTGCCGCCGCCTATGCTGCCGCTGCCGAGAACGCCTCCGTGGAGAACCGCTGGTGTCAACTGCGAGACACGGTCCAGTCGACGGGGCTAGCCGTCCTCGGTCGCGCTCCCCGCCAACACCGGGACTGGTTCGACGACCACGACGCCGCCATCAGAAATCTGCTCGCCGAGAAGAACCGCCTACACAATGCCTACGTAGATCACCCCACTGAAGACAACAAAGCTGCCTTCTACCGCAGTCGCCGCCAACTTCAGAAACGTCTGCGCGAGATGCAGGACGCCTGGATTGCTCACAAAGCTGAGGAGATCCAACGGTACACGGACCGGAACGAATGGAAGAACTTCTTCTTTGCGATCAAAGCTGTCCACGGTCCGCCGACGAAGGGCACTGCTCCTCTCCTCAGCGCCGACGGCAACACTCTCCTATCTGAGAAGATGCAAATCCTACAGCGATGGGCCGAGCATTTCCGAGGCGTCCTCAACCGCCCCTCCGTCATCTCCGACGCCGCCATCAAGCGTTTGCCGCAAGTGGAGACCAACGTGGACCTCGACCTACCGCCATCTCTCCAGGAGACCATCAGGGCCGTGCAGCAGCTCTCCAGCGGGAAAGCACCCGGATCGGACGCAATCCCTGTTGAGGTCTACAAGCACGGAGGTCCCCAACTGATGGATCACCTGACTGCGCTCTTCCAGGAGATGTGGCGTCAAAGCTAAGTCCCGCAAGATTCCAAGGACGCAACAATCGTGCACCTATACAAGCGAAAAGGGAACCGCCAAGTCTGCGACAATCACCGCGGCATCTTCCTGCTGAACATCGCGGGCAGATCTTCGCCCGCATCCTTCTCAATCGTCTGAATAATCATCTGGAACAAGGCCTTCTGCCGGAAAGCCAGTGCGGCTTCCGTCGTCATCGCGGGACCACGGATATGATCTTCGCCCCCCATCAACTTCAGGAGAAATGCTAGGAGATGCGGACCCACCTGTACTCTACCTTCGTGGACTTGACGAAAGCCTTCGACACGGTGAATCGTGAAGGACTGTGGAAGATCATGCAGAAATTCGGCTGTCCGGAGCGATTTATTCAGATGGTGCGTCAGCTGCACGACGGTATGATGGCGCGAGTCACGGACAACGGAGCTGTCTCAGAGGCATTCGCAGTGACCAACGAAGTGAAGCAGGGATGCGTAATGGCGCCTACCCTCTTCAGTCTTATGTTCTCTGCCATGCTGATGGACGCCTACCGCGACGAACGCCCCGGGATCCGCATCGCCAACAGGACGGACGGTCATCTCCTGAATCAACGGCGGAGGCACTTTCAATCGCGCGTATCCACAACCACCGTTCACGAACTCCCCTTCGCCGACGACTGCGCCCTGAACACCACCTCGGAAGAGGACATGCAACGGAGCATGGACCTGTTCTCTGCCGCCTGCGAGAACTTCGGTCTGGTCATTAACACGCAGAAGACGGTGGTGATGCATCAACCGCCACCCCACTCAGTCACAGCCCCCAACGCGCCGCCGCAAATCAGCGTGAACGGAACCCAACTGCAGGTGGTGGAGAACTTCCCGTACCTGGGCATTACCCACTCCCGTAACACCAAGATTGATGACGAAGTCGCCAACAGGATCTCGAAAGCCAGTCAAGCCTTCGGTCGCCTCCAAAGCACAGTTTGGAATCGCCACGGTCTTCAGCTGAGCACGAAGCTGAAGATCTACAAGGCCATCATTCTGCCGACACTACTGTATGGAGCGGAGACTTGGACGGTGTACGCAAAGCAGGCACGTCGTCTGAACCACTTCTACCTAAGTTGTCTTCGTCACATCCTGAGTCTGAACTGGCAGGATCGAATCCCCGACACTGATGTGCTGGAACGGACGGGAACCCTCAGCATCTGCGCCATACTGAGGCAAATGCGGCTGCGATTGAGCGACCACCTGGTGCGCAGGGACGAAGAGCGACTACCCAACCGACTCTTCTACGGAGACGTCGCGACGGGTTCTCGCCGTCAAGGAGGCCAGATTCGCCGTTATAAGGAAACGCTGAAGTCCTCCCTGAAGCGTCTGCAAATAAACCCGACCACCTTGGAAGAACTTACCCGAGATCGACGGACCTGGAGAAGGATAGTGAAGACAGGCGCTGCGATCTACGAAGCCAACCGCATCGCTGCCGCCAAAGCATAACGTGAAGCCCGCAAATCACAGCTTTGCCCAGGACGCAACGCCGCCGCACAACCGCTTCCAACGTGTTCTCGATGTCAGCGGACATTCCGGGCACGAATCGGACTTGTTGGACGTCTTCGGATTAACTGCGCCTCTCAAACGGCACCAACCATCGTCCTCCCGCCCGCCTCTTCCTCCTCTTCTCCGCCGCCAACTAACTCTGACAATTCTTCTGACCCATTACTTCCATCATCCTCCTTCTCCTCCTTCTCCTCCTCCTCCTCCTCCTCCTCGCCCACTGCTCCAACGGGCCATCGCGCACTCAGGCGACTGTCCCGCGCGCAACAACCGACATTACCACCACCTCCCCCGAATCCAGCGATGAGGATCAGGACTTCACCTGACCTCACTGCGACCGCATCTTCACCTCACACATCGGCCTGTTCGGTCACTTGCGAATCCATCGCACAGAGTCTGGCGAACCAGTGCCTGGAGCACCAACCTACACCCAACGCACTCGCCTCCACTGCCCACACTGCCCTCGCACCTTTAGGCATCGCATGGGCCTTTTCGGCCACATGCGCATCCACGAGAGCGGCCTTGACCGCACTCCCGACACACCCACCACATCCAACACATCCACCGTGCACACCCCCACTCTCGCTTCATCCGTCTGCGCCACCACCACCGCCTCCTCCGTAGCTGACACTGACACCGCCGACCTCTCATGCCCACACTGTCCACGCACATTAACCTCACGCATCGGCCTGGTCGGTCACTTGCGAATCCATCGCACAGAGACTGGCGAACCAGTGCCTGGAGCACCCACCAATGCGCACCAAGCTCGTCTCAACTGCCCACACTGCCCTCGCACTTTCAGGCATCGCATGGGCCTATTCGGCCACATGCGCATCCGCGACGACCTGCGGTAGACAACCGCCGGTCACACCACACATTCATTCACTCCTTACCTCCTCCACCACCACCACCATCACCCCACCAGAAATCAACACTCACACACCTCATGCACCCAACTGCCACCTCCCACGCAAGTGGGAAGTCCGCATCTCGACTCGGTCCCCATGCGGCTTCGGCTGCACGGGTGACTTGAGTCTGAGACTATCCCGACACGTCAAGCGTAGTGGATAGGAAGGTTGCTGATTGACGCCCGCTCTCGGTTCACGCAGTTCGTCGCGTTGTGTGTGTTGTGCGGAGTGGCGGACTGGTAAGCTGGGGACGGGCTGAAACAGCACCTTCCACGGCACTCTCACGCAAGTGAGAGACACGCCATTCAACCCCTGTTGTGTGAAATCCTGGTGTGTGTGTGTTTCGGGGGCCAGGTCGTGCACGTGGCGCGCGCAGTAATGGTCAGTTGACCATGTCAGCCACCGCGCCCATTTTCCACTCCAGTCTGCTGACCGGCTCGAACAGCGGCTGGGGTGTGGGAGTGGGAAGGAAGAGTGAGGTCGACGACTCAGCGCACTTCCTCCTCACTATAAACAATCTGACGCGCTTGAAGCTATCACGGTGCGCTAAAAGCCGTGGCACGGAAGGTTGCCAACTGACGGGGTAACTTGGACCTCCTCCTTGACTGGAGGCTCCTTTTTAATGTGGCCATTATGGCACTCCCATCACAGTGTGAGATCTGAGCCAGGCGTTGGCGGCACGCCCAGATGCGGCTTCGGCCGTGCCAGTCTCCAAATCTCTCTTGTGTTGGTTGAAATTCTGGTTATTTGTTTTGTGGACCAGGGGGTGTGATGGAACGCCAAGGTGAGGATCCGTCCGAGCCATCCACCTGCGGCCTACCTCGTCTCCGGTCTTCTTGACTCTGTCTTGACACCGGGGTCGGGCGAGGGAGGAGAAGAGAGTGTAGGTAGGTGCATGGCAAGTCTACCGGCACTATAAATCTCTGCGTAAGTCACCGTCCCTGTTCCCATTGCTGCTGCTGTGGGTCACACGGTGGACATCATCGAAACCGATGGTCGAACTGTCGACGGGAATGCCGAGCAGTTTCACCGTTACCTGTAGACCACACAACTGGCCGTAGACTATCTGGATAACCGGACGGATTATTTCCTTCCGGTCCTGTTGGGCATCCACCTGCGGAATTCGTGATAAGGACGTAAGCATGGCTTGTCTTAAAGCTGCTGTCCCCAACATTCCTCTGGGCGGATCTGTTGTCCCATGTTATTGCACCTTCACCAGCCCTACCTGTGTACCCTCTCGTCTTTCATCTTCGTAGTCTTCATTTGCCATTTCCTCATTATTCTCCAACACAGCAGTCCTAGCACATTCTCTCTCTCTTCTCCGGTTTCCCCAGCGGAGTTTACACGTAATGGATGGCTGATCATCTCATCACTTATTTTAGGCTTGTACGAATCGTTCGGGGTTGTTTTATGCCGCCATCCAGTCTGGGCGGTAACACCACACGATTTGCCAGAAAAACTTATCTTATGTTAAAATAATAATAATAATAATAAGCGATGAGAAAATCTATTTTTAAGAGCCCCTTAGGGTACTATCGAAGCAAGACGAAGGAAGAAGTGCAGAAAAGCTGCTCCCCGACTGGGAGTCGAACCCGGGCCGCCTGGGTGAGAACCTGCAATCCTAACCGCTAGCCCATCGGGGAAGTGCTTTTCTCTAACTGTGCTGCTTGTTCCGATTTAACTAAAACAGCACTAGAAGATTTTTCCGCTTGAATTGGACTGCCGAATACTAATTTAAGTTGCAATTTGACTCTTCGTTCTTCCATTTTTAATAAGGCTGGTGCATATAACGGTGGGTAGGATTCGTTATATATAGGATGTTAGTCGTCAGTACCAGATTCGAACCAGTACTTAACGTATTCTCCGAAGTGTCAACAAAAACTCTCTCGGTATTTTATGCATTCCTTCAGTAAGCTATTTAAATGGCTACTAAAACAGTATAAATTATGTATATATGCATATTTCCATCTTACAGCACTAATTTCTATCCGTTATTTGGCGGTACCTCTATACCTTAAATATTCTCAGTTACCATCCTAGAACTAACTACCAAGAATTAAAAGCTTTTTAAAGGTCGAGTACTCATCAGGAGTATAATATAAACTGTAATAACATGCTTTTGAAGCACGCGGCAACTTAACAGCCACTGTCAACATATGGACTGACAGTTATCTGGGCTTTGTCAGTGTAACTACCGTAATTTAAGAAAACGGACGGAGAACGAAAACGGACATTACTGACCACTAGGGAGACAGGCAATATCAGTCAATTGAAGGTTTCAATTTGTCAGGTGTAAGCAATTGAATTATTCGGCGGGCTAATATTCACACTCTGGGGAAAACGCAGTAAAGACAGAGTAGTCTACTTGAAACGTCGAGCAAAGCATATCTAACTCACCATAAATTAATTAACCCTTGAGATTGGAACTGTTTTGTCGCGCTGTCGCTTACTGAGTTTCTGTTGGGACTTTACACGACAACAGCATTTAAAACTGCTACGATTTTCGAAGAATAATGTTCTTAACAACGCTGCAGCTATGTACTGCCTACTCCGTAAATAATCGGTTCTGACATTCAAATGAATTTAATTTTTCTCGTTTTGGCATTATTTTTCGCCAACAACATACGAAGAAACCTTCTACGGGTCCAGTTTCGGAAGCCAATGCAGGTTTTTTTGGGATTCACGATGGGTTCTTCGAGTACTGCCGATTAGTGTATCCGACAGTAAGGCTTACGTATATTCCCGGTCATGTTACTTACGCTGGCGTGTTTTTACCTCTGACCGTGAGAAAAATGCTTGTAGCTGTGCGATTGTGGGACTGAGTAGAAAGTAAAGAAATCTATTAACAACATGTATACAGTTACATGACGGGTTTTACATGTTGAAAATATGAGCGGGTAATATTTGCCAGTGGTTTCAAGTTGTGGAAATCAATAGAAATCGAACGAAAAGCCGCAAATATAAAATACCTTAGATCGCGCATAGCAGTTGTGTGATGAGTGATAACTTAACCTTAATATTAGCAAATGCAGATTATTTGCTTGCTTTTCAACAATAGGAAGGTGACTAGGTTTGAATATCACTACTTTATCAGAAGTCCCCACTCGAACACGTTAACGAGCTAAGAGACCCCTGCGCATGAATGACGTCTAATCACAAACCATCGTCTTACTGAGCCACGACATTAAAAAGGACGTGGGTCTCCTATAAGAGATCATCAAAGCCTTCCGCAATTTTGACGAATGGCTATT